AAACTACTTTGAGGTACCACCTAACCCCAGTAAGATTAGCCCATATCACAAAATCCCAAAATTAGAGATGTTAGCGTAGATGTGGAGAAAAGGGAACACTTCTACACTGCTGGTGGGAATGCAAAGTAATTCGTTCTTTTTGGAAAGACATCTGGAGAACACTGAGAGAACTAAAAATTAGACCTGCCATTTGATCCTGCAGTTCCTTTATTAGGTATATATCCAGAAGACCAAAAATCGCATTACAACAAATATATTTGTATCAGAATGTTTACTGCAGCCCAATTCATAATTGCTAGGTCATGGAAGAAGCCCAAATGCCCATCGACCCACAAATGGATCAATAAATTGTGGTACATGTACACCATGGAGTACTATGCAGCCCTAAAGAAGGGTAGAGACTTTACCTCCTTCATGTTTATATGAATGGAATTAGAAAATGTTCTTAGCAAAGTATCTCAAGAATGGAAGAAAAAGTATCCAATGTACACAGCCCTACTTTGAAACTAATTCATAGCTTTTATAGGAATGTCATAACCTAATTATAGCCTTAGAATATCAGAAGGGGGTGGGAGGAGGGAGGTAAAGGGGGTTGATGGGGGGAAAGAGGGAGATTGGTGGGGTCACCTCTATAGTTTATCTTACAAGGGTACAAATGAATCTTTCTAAAAGCATAGTATGAACGTTTTAACTCAATAACTAAGAAAATGACATGAAGGTCATGTTAACCAGTTTGATGAGAGTATTTCAAAATGTGTATGAAAACAGCACACTGTACCCTGTGATTGCATTAATGTACACAGTTGTGCTATATGAAATTTTAAAACAAAAACAAAAACAAATCAGGCTCCACACTCAGCTTTGGTCTTTTCAAAGGAAACTACACTAGAGCTCCTATATGTGCCGAGCCCTGTTCTAAGCAAAGTTAGGGTATGCTTCATCACAGTCCACCTCTAGAAGAAATCTCTATCTTGTCCTATACAACTTACCCAAGCAAAAACAGTGGAAGGAGGGTGTTTTTCCTCTGGTTCAGAAAGAGTTGATCACAAAGAGCTCAGATGGGCTGTACAGGTGCCACTTCTGACAACAAAAGGCAGACCCTGCTAAGGAAAGTGATTACTAGAAAGACAACTCCTTTGCCCCTGCCTCACATCTTAGCCCATGTAACAAAGGTGCTGATAACTATTTAAAACACACAATCTATTATAAGGAAACAAATCCTAACAGCAATTCCTTATTTTTATACATTTTGGTGGAAAACAACCATCCCCATTGAGTCACCTCATCACACATTGTTTGTTCCTGTTAAAATACAAATATGCTACAGTAGAACCTCCGTAAATTGACCACCCAAGGGACTGTAACAAACTGATCAATATACGGAGGTGGTCAATGTAAGGAATTTCACCACTGAGTACATATGGTGCAATAAGAAAATTAGGACAACTGAAGGAAGTGGTCCATCATGGAGATTCTACTGTATTTCCTATCTTCAAAGAAAATCCAAGGCAAGCTTCCATATCATCGCCACCACATACACCCCACCTTTCTCTTCTATTTACTTCAAAACTGTCTCTCTTAACTGCTCAGTCCACTATTTTTTTTTTTTTTTTGAGATAGAGCCTCAAGCTATCCCCCTGGGTAGTGCCATGGCATCACGCTCACAGCAACCTCCAACTCCTGGGCTCAAGCAAGTCTCCTGCCTCAGACTCCCAAGTAGCTGGGACCACAGGCGCCCGCCACAACGCCTGGCCATTTATTGGTTGCAGTCATCATTGTTGTTTGGCAGGCCCGGGCCAGGGATTCGAAGCTGCCACCTTAGGTGTATGTGGCTGGCACCTTAGCTGCTTGAGCCACAGGCGTCAAGCCTCAGTCCACTATTAACCACAGTTTTACCCTATCAGCCACAAGGGTCCTTCCTTTACTAAACCCAAAGGATGAACATTTGATCATGATGAGTACTTGAACCAGCAGCACATTTAAACTTTCTCCTCTGGATGAAGTGTCCTCACTAGCTTTTAGAACCCTCTTGGTTCTTACCTTATGACCTACCTGTTCATCTCCTTTGCAGTTTGTTCCTCCACTTGCCTCAATATCTCCAGTGGAATGTTTCATCAAGTACATCCAATTTGTATTAACCAGCCCTCACGTCAAAGCCCTGAACCACCCCCACCTCACCCCATCTCTCCAATCTTATTCCCTATACCACTTTCCCCTTACCACATCCTTCCAATCTTACTCCCTATACCCTTTCTCACCTTGCTCAGCCACACTGGACTCCTTGTGTTCTACAAACTTTATCTGAAGAATGGGAGCCCCTTTAAGTTATCAGGCCCAGAGAGGCATTTAAATTTGACAGCAGTCAGCTTCATTCCTCTACCCTTAAGCTAATTATGTCACTTGTAACGTGTGGTTTAAACTAACTGACCTAACAAGCCATAAATGCCATCCACTGGACACCATAACTAATACCCTACAGTTCAACAATGTATGGCCAAATATGAATCAAGGTTATTTCTATAAACTGATGAAAATTCCTGCCAAACAATTTTCATATATATATTTTTCTGAGACAGAGTCTCACTTTGTCACTCTTGGTTGAGTGCCCTGATGTCATACAGCAAGCCATCATCTTGCTGGCTTGAACACTCCCTAAGGCAACTTGAAGTATTCCTTGACCATCCAAGGGACTATTAATGAACTGGTCAACATATGGAGGTCAATGTAAGGAACTTTCACCATTGAGTACATGTGGTACATGTATAGCCTATGAATCTTGTTTTGGACAGCTGTCCTCACTTTGGCTCAGGTGAACTCTTTATATTTTGTGCCTCAGCTTCTTCCTTTAAGTCAACAATACTTAGAAAACATGGGGCCCTTTCACAAATTTGTCCCTCTTTATGGAAAGCTGTTCATCCCCTCCAGAAATTCAAGTCTCTGTTCAAATGTCACCTTCTCAATGAGGTAAGGCCTTCTCTGCCTTCCCTATGTAAAATAAGAATATCCCCTTCCCAACCTACCTCCTTACTACACAGAATTTTTCACCAAAGCACCTATAGTACCTTGCAATTGATGTTTTTCTCTCTCTCTACATTCAACCATGTAAACCTCATATAAACAACCTTATTTCATTTACTGCTATACATACATGAGCAACTAGAAAAGAACTTGGCACTTAAGAGATGTTTAATAAATGTTGACTTTTTGAGGCAATGTTTTCATATGGGAAAAGATAGAATACTTGAGGAGGAACACTTGAGATAACTTAGGTCTGCCAAGACAATTTCAGAGCAGAAAAGTAAAAGAAAAACAAAATGGAACAAAACACTGTAAGGTGAATGGAAGAAAAAGAATGCAGTAATTGACAATAAAAGCTAAATAATTCAGAGTTAATCAATCACTAACTGGATTAGCAAAGCTTAGGAAGACGTCAGAACCGAGACCAAAAGGAATGTTAGCTCTAGAAAAGCAAAGAAGATAGACAAACATCATAATGCAACACCAGAGAAGGGGAGATTTACTAACTGTAGCTTTTCCCATGCTCATATGTTCATTGAACATAGCATTACTTCAAAGAAAAGTGCAATAGGCCCAGCACCTGTAGCTCAGTGGATAGGGCGCTGGCCACATACACCAGGGCAGGCAGGTTCAAACCCAGCCTGGGCCTGCCAAGTAATAATAACTACAACAAAAAAATAGCCGGGTGTTTTGGCAGGCGCCTATAATCCCAGCTACTTGGGAGGCTGAGGCAAAAGAATCTCTTAAGCTCTAGAGTTTGAGGTTGCTATGAGCTGTGAGCCACAGCACTCTACCAAGGGCAACAAACTGAGACAATCTCAAACAAAAAGAAAAAAGAAAAAGTCCAATAAAAGGGATGGTCTAGTAAGACTAGAAAAAGCTGGATAAACTGACTTTAAATAGACTTATTTAATGTAGGACTTCTTGTTGACTTTAACATGTTTAATGTGTACCTCTAAGTGAAGTACAATACTCAGGATTTACTTCCCTTAACCATACAACTTGTTATTCATGGGTAATACGAATAACACACAGTCCAGCTTCACTTTTGTCACTAACGTATTATCTATTCCATATTATTTTATCATGATATGCCTATTAAATTAACATAGTAATAATGTCTCTCCAAAAAAAACATCCCTTTCATTACTATATTTAAGCCAAGCTAGAAACCCAAGATTCTGAATACACACAGAGGCCAGCTGTCATCTATCTGATTATTCAATATTTGCTATACTTTGTTTAGGATATCACAAATATTGCACTTGGGAAAGAAAATCGTGAAATGTTATTTGCACTGCTTCATTCTTTATTCAGTATGTACTAAATAACACAGTATGAGAACAATTTAAGCCTATGGTATTTAATCATCATTTTAGTACTTTTAAGACTTTTAAGTATTTTGAACCCCTTAACAAATATTTAGATCTAAGATAAACATATTAAAACAAACAAGAAAAAAAAAATACTACCACTGTAGCAGCTTAAAGATACTTAAGAGATCACCCTATCCATCGCACCATAAAAGCCTCACTATCACATCATGCTGCCTCATTCAATGTCAAACAGATATAAAAAATGCAAGCACAGCCCAGGTTCTAACCATGGCAATTTTTTAAACACACAATACAATATATGTGACATTTTACTCTGGGGAAGTCTAAAAAATTAATAAAGAATAATCTAAAATGTAATAAAATCTGGGGTAAATTAACTCCAGCAGCCTTCAAAAGATAAGGTTAGATAAAATAAATTGAAGACATATTTTCCTTTCTACAAATGAGGACAACAAACGAAGTGTAAAAGCTAGAGATTTATTTTTATTTTGTGATTAATAAACTGTCAAATTGGTTATGACACTATCCCACACTGTTTACCACCACTCACTTGTACAAAAGTTTTTAAACCAGACTGGGGCATAAGGCAGAAAGAGGAAAGACACATAAATATCATCCCTAATCATCTCCTCTAGTTATGCCTCCATCCTAACCTTTGTACAAATTTTCCTCCTGGGAAAAGTGTCAGAACAGTGCATGGACTGGTAGGCAACCTGAACTCTTGACCCTTTTTAATAGCAAGCAACTTGTAGAAGTTATGGAATTCAACTTGTATTTCCCTTGATTTTATTGGTCTGAACTCATTTTAGATTACTTTAACATTTTAATTTTCTATAACTGTACACGAGAGAATATAATGACCTAAGAGAATACTGAACCAGAGTCAGTCAAATATATACTGACCCTAAATTATGTTTTAATTGGTCCTAAAGGAATGTACCACCCCAACAGTTTTGAGAGTTAAGCAAACAGAACTTCTCTGGGGAGGGAAGAAAAGGCTGTAGAACAGCCAAATGTACTCAACATTGTTAAAACAGCTTTCTTTTTCACCCCCGAATGATACTTCTTTACTACACTATATGCACAGAAATCCTAACAGAATCTTAGTTGCCAGTATTATTTAAACTGGCCTAATCCAGGATAGATTCCGCTGCCCCACCCCCGTTTCCCTTCTCTGAGGCTCTGAAAGCACAATATTTAACTATTTCTTAGTAGAACTACCAAAACACTTCAGAAACAAGTGGCTCACAAATCATTTAAAATCCATGTACCCCCTGTGCATGAGAAAACAGATAAACCCAAAAGATAGTTCTATTTTTATATGGCAATTAAAAACAACTGAAACATCAAGACACTTTCAGTGAAAGCAACATTTCAATTACAAATTGTAATGCCTGTTAAACTATCTATGGGAGAAGCTGAAAAGTCCTAGGCAAATGCACTTTTGGGTATACTATAGTGTTCCTTCAGTCTGCAGGAAGATTAAGGTAATTTACAAGTCAATCTGTGAATGTTGTGACAATGTTACATTATGTTGTCTGTACAATTTAATGTTCTTAAAGACATTACCAGAATTGGCTTTTCTACTGTATTTTTAAAAAACCTGACTAATCAATACTTTTGCTGGGAGATGTTTATCAAAGATGCTATAAGATTTAACATAATTAGAAAATACTCCACTATAGGGAGTATTCCCTTACCTTTACTTTTTTGGTTACAGGTTTTTTCTCAGATAACCTATAGCAGTATGATTCTAGAAATGTAGTCCCAAATGTGCATACTCTATATTGTATACAAATAAAGCCAAAATTGTCAGTAGTATAAATCTTACAGCATTTTGTTTGCAAAAATACATGCCATAGTCACAATAAGCAATATTGTACCACAAATTATAGAGCGCAAATGATTTGCTTCTTTTTAATGCTTTTATTCTACATAAATTACTACCACAAGCTAATGTTTAAAAAGCAAATAAATTGGACAGATGCAGGAAAAAAATCTGTTCACCCAACTATAAAAGGTGATGTTTTTAAAAAATTACAATAAATGCAGAGGTGTTTGATGCATGCAGTAGCCTTAAATGAAAAAGCATTGATTCCCACTGTTCCAGAAAAGAAAAACACAGAAAAACCCACACATCTTACTGCACTCCACCTTAAAATGCATCATATTGGGTTTGTTTATAACAGCACAGAATTCCAAGAGTCAAAATGAAATAAAGCAGGTATCTGAAAGTTTTAAGAGCCGTTATCAAAAATAAATTACATTTTTTCAAGATACAGAAATGCTGCTATGATGGCTGGGAGCCCAGTAACCTTTCGATAGCTGCATTGATATCACCTCCTGTTGCTATTAGCGCTTGCAAGTTTGCCTCACGGTTCAAAAATCCCATCGCACTGAGTTGTTCCAGTTGTTGCTGAAATCTGACTTCTGGATTCTGTAGCTGTTAAAGAAAAAAAAATTATTCAGACTCTCAGGGGAACCAGTAGACGTCACACTTAAGTAACTTTTCGAAAATTTTAATTGCTTTTTTTATAATATATACTGGTAGTGGTCTGCTGAGCTTTTTTCTTCTTTTGAGACAGAGCCTCAAGCTGTCCCCCTGGGTAGAGTGCCGTGGCATTACAGCTCACAGCAACCTCCAACTCCTGGGCTCAAGCGAGTCTCCTGCCTCTGCCTCCCAAGTAGCTGGGACCACAGGCGCCCGCCACAACGCCTGGCTATTTTTTGGTTGCAGCCGTCATTGTTGTTTTGGCGGGTCCGGGCTGGGGATTCGAACCCGCCACCTTAGGTGTAGGTGGCTGGCGCCTTAGCCGGTTGAGCTATAGGCGCCTAGGTGCCGAGGCAGTCTACTGAGCTTTAAAAGCATTGCCCTCCTCTTGAAACATATCAGACATATTTAAAGGTCCATTAGCACTTAATTTTTTTTTTTTTCCAGACAGAGTCTCAAGCTGTCACAGCTCACAGCAACCTCAAACTCCTAGACTTAAGCAATTCTCATGCCTCAGCCTCCCAAGTAGCTGGGACCACAGGCACCCGCCACAATGCCTGGCTATTTTTTGGTTGTAGTTGTCATTGCTGTTTGGCAGGCCTGGGCTGGATTTGAACCCACCAACTCTAGTGCATGCGGCTGGCACTCTAGCCACTGAGCTATAGGCGCCGAGCCTAATTTTGTTATTTAAAGTAGTCTAGTTTTTATCTAAACAATGATGTCAAAAGGCTCACATAACTCTGCTTTGCAAAAAGAAAAAAAAACTTAATAAACTCCAACCATTATTTTATAGGCTTATCAACAGGCAGAAAAACTTAGAACTATATATGCAAATAGTTTAGAATTAGATAATTTATTTTTTGTTTAGCTACTGACCAGGTAAGTAACTACAAAAGTCAGTGCCATGTTATAAAATTCTAAAGTTCCTATAAGGTTTAGGATGTAGGCTCAATTTCTATACTGGCCAGTCAATTCTTAAGAGTTCCAGACCCACAAACTATACTCTTAATTCTGACAATTCAGTGGCATTAAATCTCTCTTTAAAAATGAGGTTAAAAACAAACATACAAACATAACTGACCAACACTAGCAAACCTGATACTAGGGATGCTTGTACATTGTTCAACTTATGTAACAATTAATTCTGCCCTATACCTTAATTATTTTTGTCTTATTAATTCCACAAATATTTATCAAGTACCTAACATGCGCCAGAAACTGTACTTAGTATCAGGAATACAAATACATACAAGATACCCTGCCCTGTTTATTATATTCAGTAAGGATTGGAAACACAAAGCATCTAGTAGACCATGAAATAGGTAGACCTTTCATTAGGAAGTTTAGGAACGGCCAGGCATAGTGGCTCACGCCTAAAATCCTAGTCCTTTGAGAAGCCAAAGAAAGAGCATCATTGGAGCACAGGAGTTTGAGATCAGCCTGGGCAACATAGTGAGACTCTTGTCTCTATAAAAAAATGTTTAAAAACTAGTTTAGGAGCTTGGCGCCTGTAGCTCAGCAGCTAGGGTTCTGGTCACATGCACTGGGGCTGGCAGGTTCAAACCCAGCCCAGGCCTGCCGAACAAACAAAAATGACAACAACAACAACAACAAAAAATAGCGGGGTGCTATGGCAGGCATCTGTAGTCTCAGATATTTGGGAGGCTGAAGCAGGAGAATTGCTTAAGCCCAAGAGTTTGAGGTTGCTGTGAGCTGTGATGCCACAGCACTCTACCGAGTGTGACATAAGTGAGACTCTGTCTAAAAAAAAAAAACAAAACACCTAGTTAGGCATGCATGGTGGCATATACCTGTAGTCCTACCTACTCTGGAAGATCCCTGAAGCCCAGGAGTTATAGAGAGCTATGATCATACCACTGCGCTCCAGCCAAAAAAGGTAGAGTGAGATCCTGTCTTTTAAAAAAAGTTTAAAGAGCTATATTATTTACTGCTGTACCCCTAGATATTCAGTGACTGCTTCTAGGAAGAAAGGTAGCACCATGTCATTAGGCTGCAAACATTTTGAACATGGTGAGAGAATGGGCTATTTGTTTTGAATCTTCTCTTACAAACTTGGGAATGTGGTGGGATCACCTTATTTCAGTTTATGAGCCAGAAATTTTCACATTCCAAAACTGCCCAGAGTCCCACAGGCCTGTGTGTAGTATGAGCCCAAGAGTTTGAGGTTGCTGTGGGATATGACACCACAGGACTCTACCAAGAGGGATAAAGTAAGACTCTGTCTCAAAAAAAAGTTTGGAGGCAAACCACTTCAAACAGTTTTGAAGTGGCAATCATCTTTTTATAATGCCATGTTCTTAGTAAAGCCAATAAAGCTTGTAGGCACAAGAACATTATTAGGCATCCTTATTTTTTAGCCATATTTGTGAGGTATGTATATATAACATAAATTACTGCTGGAGGTGGTGGTGGGTAGGTTAAGGTAGTTAGGATTTTTTTCCAAAGTCAAAACACAAAGACCAGAATAGAGTTGTCCCAGAGTTACCTAGAATAACCAAGTTTCCATTCCTCCCTGACAAACTTTTATGTAACAAAACCTATTTCCAATGATTTTCTAATAGGAATTCAAAGAAAATTTTTTAAGGCAACTTCTAAAAGATAAGGCATTAGGTGGGCACAATGGCTCAGACCTATCATCCTAGCACTCAGAGAGGCTGAGGCAGGCACACTGCTTGAGCTCAGGAGTTCAAAACCAGCAGCAAGAGTGAGACCCTGTCTTCACTAAAAATAGAAAAAATAGCCAGGTGTGGTGGTGAACGCCTGCACTCTCAGCATCTCAGAAGACTGAGGAAAGATCACTTTAGCCCAAGAGTTTGAGGTTGCTATGAGTTACAATGATGCCACTACACTCTACCTAGGGCAAGAGAGTGAGACTCTCTCCAAAAAAATAAATTAATAAATAATAATAAGGCATTCAGTTGTAGTATGTATTCTCTACAACTATGACAATGATATATCACCAAAGTCAATAATTTTTATTGCACCTGTTTTAGATTCAGTATCATTAAGATTATACTTTTCATTAATCTAAAAACTGAAGATCAGCTAATATTTCCCATTTTTTCTTCTTTTTAGAAATTTCTGTATTTCTAACATTAAGAAATACAAAACTTAAACAGAAAAGAATTGCTACCTGAGGATTTACGCCAGCAAGAGCCTGCAGCATCTGTTGAATAAATTGCTGGTGTCCAGGTTCAGTGGTTCCTGCTGTGGGGCTCGTGCTTTCACTAGGTGTAGGGTTAGAACCATTGGGTCCTGAAGAGCCTCCAGTGCTTCCTAATGCCCCAAGGCCAGGAGTAAACCTAGGGAAAGCGCAAATGGGTGACAAACCTAAACTCCTGCAAAACTAGAGGTCAGCCTAGGTGGCAAGTCAGTTACATTTTAACTTATCAGTTAAGTAATCTTCTTAAAATAAGCATTTTAACTTTGAAAACTATGACTTAAAAACAATCTCAAGAAAAAAAGGCAGATGGTATTAGTCTGAAATTCTCAAAAAAAGTAAGCATTATGTGCTTTGTAATCGTCCCCAAATAAGCCTTACCCTGGAATGAGGCCGGGAGCTTCCGTAGCTAATGTCTGCAAACCCTGCTGAATCTGTAATAAAGCCTGCATTGCTCTAGGGTTTGACATTGCTGAGAGTGTATCAGGATTCTGCATCTAAGAATAAAGAAAAGCAATGGTTACAAGGGAATTAAAATCACTGAAGGTAAATTTTATTACCTTTTCTTTGCTATGTTTCTGAAGAAAATCTAAAACCTCTCTCTCAGACATTGGCAACCTGTAATTTTCCCCAAAATAAACACAAGTATCTCCTCTTTGACAGCAAACCCAGAGTTACACATCATTACTTGACCTCTTTCCAAGTCCATCATGAAAGCCATTTTCATAATGGAAAACAATCAGGGGCTACTCTGGAAGCCACTACCACTCCCCTTCTCCAACAAAGACAGTATTATTTTTAAGAGACAACCTCCAAATGCACAAGTTATATGACATGGTAATATGGTGAAAGCCACATATTCCTCCTGAACAAGTGTTACCTGTTGCTGACATAACAATTTTACCAATAAGGTACACTCTAAAAAACAACAGTTCCAATTTTGAAGTTAATACATGTGTCCTGAGCTTAGCTTTACTACTTCCAAATACATACCACCTGACTGACCAAAGAAGATAAACTTACATCATTACAATAGATCAAGAACACTAACCTTGGGAAATGTTTTATAGGCCAAAGAATCATTTGCATAATACATAAAGCCCTAGAACTACCAGTTGCAAAACACCAAGACTGACTTCTCTTTTATCTTTTTAAATAATAAAATACCATGGCAATCTCAAGTACTTTCTTATAATATAACTTTCCTTACATGACAACACTGACAATTTTAATCTTACTAATTCCGAGTTTGAGGAAATAAGATCTACCCCCTTAGAAAACAGGCATTCTATTTATTTGGAAGAAATTAAAACATTACAAAGAAAACAAATCTATAAAATAGGATAGGGTAGCTCTTTCCTGTTACTCGAGATTAGTTAAACCATAAAGCGTAACATGACACAAGAAAACACTTCAAAGTTAGTACAGTGAAAGGAAATGGTTTACAGTATTAACAAAGCATTCAAAATCCTAAATCCTCAAAAGCAAAAATAAAATGTTCTTCCCTCAAAATTTATATTTAAGAAACATAAGCAAAAGGTCAGCAGTGAAATGGGGCTCATTTAAAATCAAGCTGAACTCTCTACGGATTGACAGTATTATCAGTCTCCATTCTATGTTTTACTATCAGCCAGAAGAGTAAGGAAAATGTTTACCATCAAACTTTTTCAAGCAAATCATTACCGAAGATAGCTAGCATCTTTTCTTACTCACTTGTTGGAGGAAAGTTGGGAGCTGTTGTCTCATTTGTTCTTGAAGCTGAGGATTTCCAGCAAATAGGGGATTATTCAGCATCATCTATGGGGCAAGTGTTCAAACAATTTTAACTGGAAATATCTGAAACAAGTAATGTACCTTGTTTAATATTCTACCTTCCCCCAGTGCCGAAGCTGGCACCTAAAAGAGAGGAAGATAGAACATAAATAAAAAAGGAAAAGGGGAGATACTGTCCACAAAAGGGATCTCCAGAAAAAAAACAAAACAAGGCATCGTCTCTCTTAGTAAGATAGTTATGATAGTGACAAGCAATATCCTAAAAAATAGAAGCAATCATTTTCTTAGTCTTTTCCATGAGCAAAGGTGAGTATCAGCCCTTGGGAAAAAAAAAGGGAAAAACTGACATTCATGAAGATACATTTTCTGCTACACGGAATAAACATCAATACATGAAACTATATATACCGCTTGCTAGAAACCTCAACACACAAGTAGCAAGCACAAAGATCCAGATCTGGAACCACTCTATCTACCTGCCTACTACAAAACAGCTAATATTAGGTCCAAAAAATAACACCTCAAAACAGCAACCAACTTGCCAGAGAAATGGAGCTGCTAGGTGAAAATAGCCCAGACTAGCACCAACAGTCCTCTGGGGAAAGTGTTAAAATACTTTAAGACCTGAAAGATGTAGTAAATCCCTGTGAGAACACCAAGCAAGATTAGCATCTGGATTTCACCTCACTACCAACAGAGAGGAGAAAAGTGGCATTATCTCCTAACCTTCAAAAAGGTGTTAAGAACTTAAAAGTCAGGGCCATTATTAACATGATACTGTATACCTGAAAATATACACAATCAGCATAACCAGCAACTAATATTCTCATAGCTTTCAGAAAGAGAGAGATTTTATATTATTTTCCCTAGAGTTAAAAGTCAACTAACAATGATTTACTGATAGCCTAGTTTCCTGGCCAAAGGCTAGGGGAAGAAATGATTCATGTCCTCAAGTAGTCAGCCACATTTAAGAGCAATCACACATAAATACTGGTAGAAAGAAGTCCACCGCCCCTCTTTTTAAAAGTCCCATCTACTGCATATAGTGAAGTAGATCCATTAGTTAATGTCAATAACCAAAACAGAATAAAAATTAAGCTTTTCAAGAAAATACAGTATTTATTTCAAAGTGACCAATAAATTCACAGTAAATGTATTAATGCCCAAAGTCATCAAACCTGATTCTTTACTGGCTCCAGTCAAATATGTCTTTATTATGAACACATTAATGAGGTTAAAACATTTACTATTCAGCATTTACATCATTTAAACTCATCAAGAAAAGTACACCATCTAAAACTTATTCTTTCTCAGAAAATCATATCATTTAATTAGGGTAGTTCTCCTAACTTACCTGACTGCTTATACACATATCACAATTAATCCAGTTTTTAAACTCAAGACTTAAAAAAATACTTAGAAGTCAAAAGCAGAGAAGAGAAATGACACACACTTTAATCTGATAATAAGAATACATTGTAAATATTTCCAAACTGTAATAACAGATGTCTGAATCTAGTATTCTTTGTCAACATTTTGCTTTAGAGTAAAAAATACAGTATGTGAAAGTGCTCGAGTCACTTTATAAATGTAAATTTGTAATCATAAATGGGTAGAAATGTGCTTATAAAAGTCAAATTTTAAGAAGATGCACATTATTAATTAGCCAAATATACACTTAAAAATATACAAATAGGAAACTCTCCATACACATTTTCTACATTTATTTTAAAACAAATCTAAAAATTTTAGCTTCATTCACTCTCAAAAAAAAGGCTCTAGGTTACAATAAGGTGAGATATTTAGTAACTCTGGTAATTTTCATGAAAATAAAACTGTCATAAAATGTACCTATAGTATACAAAAATTTAAATACAAAAATTATCTTAAATTTTTTTTACTTCCAATTCCACAAATTTTATGAGGAAAGAAGTTGTAAATGAGAATTATGTATCAGACATAATTCTGATTATATAGCAGATACACTTGAATAAAATGGTCCTAGAATTTAGAAAACAGAAACCATTTCAATGGACATAATGATCAAGAGGTTAATTATAAAACCTTTTAAAAGAAATGAAATTAACTATAAAAAGTATCTCAAATTCCTAACAATCTACAGAAGCCATTTTTAGTAGAAAGCAAATATAAACTTCAGAGGATCAAGGCTTACACTTCATATTCTCCAAGATTTCTCAAGCCTAATGGTGTAAACAATACATCAGAATCACCTAGAACTTTGGGGGTATAGAGGGAATCCAATGCAATTATATATAAATCTGTAAGTATTGGGCCCATAAGTACTATTTTAAAAACTCTCCAAAGTAATCTTGAAGTCAGTATTGGTAACTGTTAATTTTCTTAGTTATGGTCTCATTAAAAACAAACTGGAAAATGAATGAATTAATAAAGGACCAGTAGGCTATCTTGGGGCAAAGGATCTATAATATAGAAAGAATGAGAACAATGTTCCCACAAATCTCTTTCTGCCTTTGATTCCAGGCTATGTTACAAATGCCATTTTGAGGATGACTATTACAATCTGAGTGATCTATTAAAAAAAAAAAAAGATTTCAAATTTATTAACACTGTTGTCACAGGAAGGTCTGACAATTACGTTCATGAACTTGCCACTGTGTGCTTATGTTGGCAGCAACAGCACTCTACAAACAACTTGGTAAGGTTTCATAACCGAGGTATATCAATGTCTCATAGCTGTGTTTGTGCGGCGGTATGGTGGTGTCTTGCTGAGTGGTATAGAGTATGCTGCTATCTTGCAAGGTGGTGTTCACTGTTGTATGTTTTTGTGTGCTCTATTATGACATCTTTGAAGGTTGTTCTAGAAAAAGTTTCCATAGCTTTCATAGGAACGTCATAACCTAATTATAGCCTTAGAATATGGGAAGAGGGTGGGAGAGGGGAGGTGAGGGGGATGAATGCAGGGAGGGAGGGTGATTGGTGGGGTCACCTCTATGGTTTATCTTACAAGGGTACAAGTGAATCTTTCTGAAAGCAGAGTATGAATATCTTAACTCAATAACTAAGAAAATGACATGAAGGTTATGTTAACCAGTTTGATGAGAGTATTTCAAAATGTATGTGAAAACAGCACACTGTATCCCATAATTGCATTACAGAGTTATGCTATAAGAAATAAAAAAAAATAAAAAGTTTCAAAATTGCTTGAAGAGTGGGCTAGGAGCTGGCACTGGTGCATAGCTTCCCAAGGGGAATATTTTGAAGACAACCAATGAGGTGTGGAGTGATAGTCAGCAATGAGGTGTGTGGGCACTTTTTCTAGGATGAATTCACTAACTTAATTGTCAGACTCTGTATGTAGATACAAAGCAAACATGCATTATTTTCCACTCAAGGAATGGCAGAGATGAAGACAATGTTTTAATTATATATTCAATATCAATCTACTGCAAAGAAATAAGACTGTCAAAAAAACTGGATATGCAGTTTACCCTATTTCTCTATGTGCCAAAATCACAATTATTGGATTAGGTTATTTCAATTCACACTGCACAGTACTTCAAATACAACTACATACTCACCTGGGCAGCAAGGTCAGGGTTCTGGCTTAGTGACTGCATCATGCTTCTCATGTAGGGAGCAGACAACATGTTTTGCATAAGTTGCGGGTTTTCAGTTATTTGTTGCAACAAGCTCTGCATTCCCGGTGTGTTGAACATACTAGCTGAAAGTTTGTTTTTAAAGAAAGATATTTTATTAAGAAAATAATAAAAAGTTAAAGCTTTAAAATATAATATACTCTGTGTTTAATTTTAGCAAGTGCAGATGAGTACACACGTTACGCTATCAATTAAGAAAGAATTTTAAAACTAAGCTGATGTTCAAAAGTATACGCCCAACATGTAACAGTAAAAGATGACTTATGATTTTAAACATTCGGGCTTTATCTACAGTAAAATCACATCTCATGGAAGGGCTAAGTTCAAAAGTCAATTTAAGATATGGTCAAAATTACTATGGAAAAATTCCATACAGTGAAGAACTCTGAGCCAACTTTTCCTCCAGGATTGCAAATGATGGCATAATTAGAATCAGATTCACCATCCAATATGACCATTCTCCTGTAAGAACACTTCACATCTGTAGGAAATAAAAGATCCAAGTCTTCTCTCCCACTTTGGCTGTACTGGCACTCATTGAGACCATATAGCACAGTGACTAAGAGCAGTCTCTGGAGCCAGATTAACTGGGTTCAAATCTAACCTAGGTTAATAATCATGGACAAGTTATTTAACTTCTTCATACATCAGTTTACCCACTTGTAAAATAGAGAAAATATAGTATCTACTTCACAGGGTGGTTATAACAAATTACTTAATATGTATAGCACTTACTAAGCTGGTTTTGATTATTATGATTTTTCTTGTCTTTTTTTTTGCCAAGGGCTACAGCTGAACTTAAGTAAATTCAATGTGTGATGACTCAACTATATACAAATCTTCACTGAAAACTAAGTAATCTGTTTAACTTACCCATAGATCCTCAACTGCTGACTAGGTAAACTTATAGTCTCAAACTTACAATGTTAACTCATTAGCTTTTTCATTCCCTTTCTGCCTTTATTCTAGGCCATGTAGTTTTATCATCCTTAAAACACTTCACTCTTCCCACTTATCTTTCTACTGTACTGTAATTCTGCTGTTGGTAATTCTGTTTCTCTTATTTTCATATATTGTAAATCATAGTTAGTTTTTTCCACATCCTGATGTCTAAGAATACAGATATACCTTGGCTCCAAACCACCACAATGATGTACATATTACAATAAAGCAGGTCATACAAATATTTTGGTTTCCTAATACATATAAAAGTTAGGCTTATACTGTACTATAGTCTGTTAAGTATGCCACAGCATTACATATTTAAAAAAATGTACACACCCTTAATTTAAAAATACTTTATTGCTAAAATTGCTAACAATCATCTTAGCCTTCAGCAAATCAATCTTTTTCCTGGTGGCTGCGGCAAATTCTTAAAGGGTTTCAGTTTGCCACGTACACTGACTCGTTCACAAAAACAAGATTTCTGTGTAGCATACAATGCTGTCTGACAGCATTTCATCCACAGTAGAACTTGTAAAACAAAGTCAGTGGTGTTCTCCAATTATGCCACTGCTACCAACTAAGTTTATGTAATATTCTAAATCTTTTCTTGTCATTTGCACAATGTTCACATCATCTTCACCAGGAATATAATCCATCCAAGAAACTACTTTCTTTGTTCATCCATTAGAAGCAACTCTTCAACCTTTCAAGTTCTGTGACACTGTGGCAATTGATTCTAGTTCTCTTGTCCACCATATTTGCAGTTCCCTCCTCCACTGAAGCCTTGAACTTCTCTAAACATATCCACAGTGGTTGGAATAAACTTCTTTCAAATCTTGTTAATGTTGACATTTTTATCTCCTCTCATAAATATTCTTAACGGCATTTAAAGTCATGAATCCTTTTCAGAAAGTTTTCAACTTACTTTGCTTTTCTTAGATCCATCAAACATTCAGGTTGCTATAACCTTACAAAATGTACTTCTTAAAAAAGAATGCTGGCTCAGCACCTGTGGCTCAAGTGGCTAAGGCACCAGCCACATACACTTTAGGTGGCAGGTTCGAATTCAGCCCGGGCCCGCCAAACAACAATGATGGCTGCAACCAAAAAACAGCCAGGCATTGCAGCAGGCTCCTGTGGTCCCAGCTACTTGGGAGGCAGAGGCAGGAGATTCGCTTGAGACCAGGAGTTGGAGGTTGCTATGAGCTGTGATGCCACGACACTCTACCCAGGGGGACAGCTTGAGGCTCTGGCTCAAAAAAAAATGCTTTTTTCCTGAGTAGTAGTTTTCAACAATAGGCTTAAAATATTCAGTAAAGTATGCTGCAAACACATGTACTGTAATATTTGGGTTCTGTTACACCCTAGAGGACAGGTAGAGTAGATTTAGCATTATTCTTAAGGACCCTGAAGGTTTTAGAATTGTGAGTACTGTCTTCAACTTTATGACAGCAGCTGCATCAGCCCCCAACAATAGTCAACCCATCCTTTGAAGCCTTGAAGCCAAGAGACGTCTTCTCTTTAGCCAGATGGCATCTTCTTCCAACAGAAGGCTGTTTCAGTTATAATGAAAATCTATTGTTTAGTATAGCCACCTTCATCAATTATCTTGGCTAGATCTTCTGGAAAACTTGCTGCAGCTTCTAAGTCAGCACTTGGCTGCTTCACCTTACACTTTCTATTTTATGAAGACAGCTTCCTCCTGCAGACTTCATGAACTCTGCAGACTTCAAACTTTTCTTCTGCAGCTTCCTTAACTCTCTCAGCCTTCACAGAATCCTATCTTGGCTTTTAACATACCTTCCCCACAAAAGCTTAATCATTTCTAACTTTTATTTTAAGTGAGAGATGGCAAGACTCTTTTATTTTAACACTTACAGTCCATTGTAAGGTCCTTAACTGGTCTAATTTCAATATTGTTGTGTCTTAAGGAATAAGGAGGCTTGAAGAGAGGGAGAGACACAGAGGAAAGAGCCAGTCAGTGGAAAGCCAGAACAGATATAGTTATGTTTTGTCTGCTTAAAGAAAAGTTTGCCATCTTAAATGAATGTGATTTGTAGCGCCCCCAAACAATTACAACATCAAAGATAACTAATCACTGATTGCCACAATAATTACCAAAATGTGACAGAAACACAAAGCGAGCATACACTGTTTAAAATAAAAAAAATGACACTGATAAGACTTACTTGACATAGTTTGCCACAAACTATAAATCTATAAAAATCACAGTATCTGCAAAGCACAGGAAAGTGAAATACAATAAAACAAAGTATGTCTGTATTCTAAAACAGGCTGGAAACCTACCAACTTACAGGACAAATCTGGCGTACATCATGCTTTTTGTACAGCCCACAACATAAAATATTTTGTGAAATATAAAACTATCAGAGATTCAAATTTTAGTGTCTATAAATACCATTTTATTAGAAGTCATGCTTTTTCATTTATTGTGTACTTTTACAAAAGCAGAACTGAGTATCTAAAATAGACTACCTATAGTGCTGTCACTGTTTCATACTGCTACAACATGATATCACTGTAGCATGTGTATTTTATTTCCAGTGCATCGATCATGTCAAAACAAAAAAGAACTGAACTATGAATGTTATGCTTTTAAACCACAGTGAAATATAAATTGTTTTATTAAATGAGATGGCAAAACATTGTTTCTATTATCCAATGAAACTAAAAGAATACAACATGGACACTGCCGGACTAAACGCTCATCACAATATTCTCCACCTATAGGAAAGCAACGGTTAGAAAAATTACAAAATTTAAAATGAAGTATCTCATCATAGCCAAATTTCTCCACAAAAATAAAAATATGAGGCTACAACCAAAGTTAAATTCCCCAGTGGCATAGTCAGCCAATCAAGTGTTGGTTAATTAACACTAATTAAATCTCAACTGCAGCAGCCAAATAAATTTGTCCAAGAAAATAAACTTGTTGGCTCGGCGCCTGTGGCTCAAGCCGCTAAGGTGCCAGCCACATACACCTGAGCTGGCAGGTTCGAATCCAGCCTGGGCTCGCCAAACAACAATGATGGCTGCAACCAAAAAATAGCCGGGCGTTGTGGCAGGCGCCTGTGGTCCCAGCTACTTGGGAGGCAGAGGCAGGAGACTCACTTGAGCCCAGGAGTTGGAGGTTGCTGTGAGCTGTGATGCCACAGCACTCTATCCAGGGGGACAGTTTGAGGCTCTGTCTCAAAAAAAAAAAAAAAAAAGAAAAGAAAAAAGAAACTTGTTTCAGTCCACCAGGCTTTTAGAGAGAACAATTTTTTTCTCGAATAGGCACAACAGGCACACCAATATTTTGCATAGTATTCCTTTTGCATAGTATTTTTTTTTTTTGCATAGTATTCCTTAGCTCCTGATGAGCTGACAGACATTACTGATTACTCAGTTCTTATTTATTTGAGGTGACTGAAAATTAGCCTGTATAAACAATCTGAATAGAACAACTAAGGCAGGACTATTTTCTTTTCTTTTTGCAGTTTTTGGTCGGGGCTGGGTTTGAACCTACCACCTCCGGCATATGAGGCCAATGCCCTACTCCTCTGAGCCAGATGCTACCCAGCAAGACTATTTTCAAAGAAGTTAAGCAATAACTGGGTACAACCTAAAGTAGAATATGCTAAATTATGCTACCTCTAATGGTGGCAGAAATGTAGAGAATTAAAAGGATTCATTTAGACAAATTTACAAAGCATATAAAAAAGTCATTGTTTTATTCATGAACAGTGCATCATATGCATTCTGTGGAAAGTAATTTAATCTATCATGTTACTGAACCAGGAATACCTATGATGAACATCATTCACTCTTGTGAGCTTAATCATCGTCAATTCTACAAATTTTTGTTGAAAACAGCTCAATATCCTGACACACTCAACCACCCAGCAGCTTGGTGGCTCACCAGAGATAAAGTTTCACTGCATTACCTTATAAGTTCATGTCTAACGTTAAAAACTTTGTGAAGAAGAACCACCACCTAACCAATATTACCAAATACTGAATGATTTAGAAATTAGTTTTGATAGGAACTTGGTAATGTTTCTCAATGAATTCAACCCAAAATTACAAAGCAAACAGCACTTACATGTGAAACTCAAACTGTAGTAAAGTGATTTTGACAAGTGAAGTTGTCTGAATAACAAGCAATGTCAAGCTACTTTACATGAATACTCCCTGTGCTGTCAAAAATCACAAGAAATAAGATCGCTGTTCCCATAAATTTGCAGATTTATTTTTGGGCTCATACTTCCTACATTACTTTTCAAAGCTGAATACAAGTGCAAAGAAAATTCACACTTCAAAATTCATTTAACAGTGTAATTGAATAGCTACTACATAACCCTTAATTTGAAATAATTAATCTGAAAGGTAATGACATGCTAAAAACCAAAAGAATCTAAAAGAATTCTATAAATACCTTCCAAATTGATGTATATGCTATTAAAAATCATACACTTTTAGAATGAGTACACATTCAGAATAAGTCTCATTACACATTAGTATTAACAGATGAACACTTAACAATAGATTTTGATAAACACAGAACACTGGGAACCACAAAGAAGAAGAATGTTATCCCCCTAAGAAATCCACTACCCTCATCATTAGATATGTATGAGGAACACATCTCCCCTATGGTGCATAATGCAAGGGTACTTGTTGGATTTATTGAGTATAAATGTCTTAACACAATAATTAAGTAAACAAGCTGAGGTTTATAGTAACCAGTGTGATGCAAACACTCCTAATTCTATATGAAATCAGCACATTGTACCCCATACATGTATTAATGTATACATGATCTATGCGTTTATGATTTATTTAAAAAGTAAAATAAAAATAATTTAAAAAAAGAAAATGTTATACACTATTATTACTCAGTTTTTAATTTCATCAATAAAACAGTTTGTGGTAATTTGCTTGCTTTCTTTTTATAATATTCTCGATTTTACCTTTTGGGCAGGAAAATCTAAAATATTAATCTGACCTTTTACATAAAAATTTGCCAACTCCTACTCTAAGACTTCCTCACTTTCTAGAGTAAGTGCTTACAGGGTAAAAGAAAAACCAAGAAATTCATCTTTACATGTATGTATGTACATGTATGTATAAAACTTGAAGACTTGAGTAAAAATCATAATAGTGTACAAATATACTGGCAATTTCACAGGCCAGCAGAGTAATTTTATTTGTTGTTTCTTATCTTCCCTTGATGGTAATATTAACATGAAATGTCAAAAGTATCAAGTCATAAAATTAAAATCTGAGTAAAAAATTTCAAAAACTCATTTTTTGCTTACTATACAAAAGTCATGTAGATCACCATGCTATAGGAGAAAAAAAAAGCCTACCAGTCAGGAAGTCTGATTAAATCTTTGCCTGCTCTCTATCCTTTAAAGCAGGAACACCGCCTTTCTCTTGAAAGATTAATAATCAATAAAGATCAAGAATATAGAAGTTTTTTCTTGATTTAAAAATGGTATTTGTTTTTTGAGGGTTTTTTTGAGATAGTCTCACTTTGTCGCCCTCAGTAGAGTGCCACTGCATTATAGCTCACAGCAACCTCAAACTCTTGGGCTCAAGTGATTCTCTTGCCTCAGCCTCCCAAGTAACTAGGACTACAGGCGCCCACCCCAACACCCAGCTATTCTGGAGACGGGGTCTCAGGCTCAGGCTGGTCTCAAACCTGTGAGCTCAGGCAATCCCCCCATCTCGACCTCCCAAAGTGCCGGGATTAAAGGCATGAAAAATGGTATTATTTCAAGTTTTATAAAACCTGTATTATTTACAGAAACCTCATAATACTAAAACTGTACTTTATGGAAGAGTATATGTACCACTGTGACTATCAATTATTATCCCCATTCTGATTCTTATCTCAGCAGGAAATTTTGAAAAATTCTAGCATCTCCTCTTTCTACTTCCTCTGCCAAGATATATGCATCTTTAAAATATATCCAGTCTTGGGGGCGAGACATAATTATAAGAGGGACTTTAACAAATGGAATCAGTATAACCTAATTCTTTGTACCCTCAATGAATCCCAAACAATAAAAAATATATATACATATATATGTACATATCCAGGCTCTCTCATCATAGTAAGTATTCTCATGCCTCCATTTCTTTCTAGTTATATACAAAGTATTAGGACTAAAATCATCATTCTGGCTAATGATCTTGAACCTAATTCATGGGAAAAAAAAACTCAGCAAGTCATCCCCGAACAGTTGAAAAGATGACACCCATTTACTGAGTTCAGTCTTCAGAAAAGTGGATAAAAGTAAATTTCTAACTCATTCTCACACCAGAACCTATAGGAGCTTTATATAAAAACAGATAATAATTAAACCTCACTACAAAAAGATTCTGGTCCACAAAGTCTGAGGGTAGATCTAGTAATCTTATTTTTAACAAACCTGACAAGTGCTCTGATGCAGCTAGTTTAGCCCTGACCTCAAAACTGATGTCTGAGAATCCACTCATCTAAAATATAAAATCGGACGAAAGCTAGGAAGCATGTACTCTAGCAATTAACTATACAGGTAACTAACTACATGTTCCCTCTGCATTTGTTTCCCACCTATAAAAAAGAGACTACCACCCACTTTTCTCAACACCATCTCATGAGGATATGAAAACATAAAATTGCTTCTGGAAATCTTCAATAACCTTCTCCACTATAATGCACTCGGTGGTTAACACTGATCATCACATAATTAAAGCTTCCTTCAAAAAAACCACAAAAAAACCTTGAAACATGAAAAGATTGTTCATGTACTCACCATCCATGAACACAAAAGCATAAAGAATAATAACATAAGCAATGCTTTCATTATTCACAAAGTGAGGACAACAGAGAAAAAAGCATGAGTTGTTAATAAGCATACCTCCTAATCCAGGCACCAAATTTGGTGCAGCAGTACTCTGCCCAGCAGCGCCACTGGCAGCGCTACCAGCAGTGCCACCCACAGTGCTGGTGGTGCCGCTGGAAGCTGGTGAACTTTGGGAAGCCGGTGGAGCCCATGGATTGGGTAATGGATCTCTATTTTCTGTACGGGAAGGTTGACTACCTTCACCTGAGGATGTATTGCTCACTAAAGAAGCAAATGGATTACCACCAAACTGTAATAAAAGATACAAAAACCATAAAGAATAAGCTTTTGCTTTAAATAACAGATATGGAACGTTTTAAACAAAAATTACATTCACCATATAAAGGTACCCCACCCCACAATAACAAACATATTTGTGCTAAAACAGAAGCTACTCCTTGGCCTGAACCTTGGAGTCAGTGGATCACCTGTTCTTGGGCAGCACTCAGCATTGGTTCCTGAATATCTGTATACATGCGCCTTAAAGCATTATATCCCCCTGGGATGCTTTCTAAGTTGCTCAAGGCTCGGTCCTGGTTTCTCATCATTTCTTGCATCATTGCTGGATTCCTGGCAAGTTCCAATGTCTAAGAAAAAGATTTCCATTAAAAAAAAAAAGCAGGGCAATGAATTAGTTATTAGCTACTGCTAAATAAAGTTTATGCGTGGGCCTGCACTAGACCCTAACAGCCCAGACCAAACCAGAACAAAATCATTTATGCTAAGTCTCATGCAATCAAAATGAACTTTGAAACAGGACAGTTTAAAAAAAAGAACGAGATTAGGAAAGTAACTTCAAAATGATTAATACACTTTTGTTCCTGTTTCTGCTTTCTTTAACCCTTTTCTGACTATAAAGCCAATCACCATTACTCCACAGGAACAGTCATTCTATTTTATAAAATGAGGTGGTATCTGATTCTAGAATTACAAATAAAAACAAATGAAGGTTGGGTGCAGTGGCTAATGCCTATAATCCCAGCACTCTGAGAAGCTGAGGAGGGAGATGGCTTGAGGCCAGGAGTTTGAGACCAGCCTGAGCAAGACCCTGAATCTACAAAAAAATATATAGAAATATTAGCCAGACATAGTGGTGCATGCCTATAGTACCAGCTACCTGAAAGGCTAAGGCAGGAGGATTGCACTTGAGAGAGCAAGAGTTTGAGGTTGCAGTGAGCTATGATAACATTACTGCACTCCAGTCTGAGCCCAGGCAACAGAGTGAAGAACCTGTCTCAATAAATTAATAAATAACCATTTGGAGCTTTAAAGTTGTACTTTTGTCTTCAATATTTAAGTCAAAAATTATTTTAAATAATTTCTGGTAGACTTCACCTCAAAAAGCAAGCTAACACTCAGATAACATCACAAAGGAAGTACTTTGTTATAACTGCCCCCAAAAACCTAGACTTTTTGTTTCTTAAACCTTTAAGATAAATTATTTGCAATGATCTTTCAAATGTTAGCAGAAGTTATTCAGAGTTCAAATAGTCCAAATTAATGCTTTGTTGAGTTTTCCTAAACAAAAATTAGGATTTCTGATTAGCTTAACCACATAAGGCAATCTCTTTAACCACATAAAATTAAATAAGAAATATATCATATTTCAGCTAAATGAATTGGAAAATTTTTCCACATACTTGTCTCATTATATCAGGATTGTTCAGCATATGACTGATCTCTGGATTTCGCTGTATCAACTGCTGCATCTGTGGATTGGCCATAATTAACTGTCTCATCAGGTCTGGATTTGAGAGCATGCTCTGAACGAAGGGATTTTCCATGATCTGGACCATCATTTCTGGGTTCGACAAAAGCTGTCGCTGCATCTGGCTCTGTAGCTCAGAGAAGTTGGTAGTATTCAAACCCAGGCTACTCAGACCTGCAAGTCCTCCAAGACCACCTAAGAGGATAAGGCGGAGTAAAATACATAAATAAAAGTCAGAAATGTTATCACTTACAAAATTGTGCTAACATATGAAGGCACAAAAGTATTAACTGACCCAAAAGTCTATTACCAAAAACCATTTTAAAACAAAAAGATAATACCCATTACTAATACGTTTAACTCCTACAACTGAAATTAGCCAAAAATCTACACTTTAAGTAATAAAATCAACAAAATGTATTTTCATGCATATATATGAAAATGTATTTGTTCTTTATTCTTGAATTCTGAGGGAGTGCCTAAAACCCTTGTAATTTCCTAAGTAAAAGGAAAGAAATGTCTTTTGTTATTAATAACAGGCCTCCCATTAACATAATATGACTTAAAACAGAAAGACCTAGTGATTAAAGCATTGGCACTTTCAGCCTTACTCGCCAACCTCCAGGAAGGTGAGGGGAGGGAGCTGGAGACACAGTTCTAAACACACATGAACAATACAATTCACAACTTTCAGGACAGGAAGTACAGGTATTAGGAGGCACTAAAAGGACCTAGAAACTTTGTACCCAACTTCCATTCTCCACATACATTGCCCCAGTTCTCTTTGAAGCATTTGTTTCTGAATTGTGTCCTTTGTAATAAATAAGTAAACATAAAGTGTTTTCTTGAGTTTCGTAAGCCATTCTGGCAACTAACTGAACCTGAGGAGGAAGTCTTGGGAACCCCTGATAGTGGGGAAGAATTTGAGACTGATATTTGAAGCAGAGGCAGTCTTGCAGGTCTGAATTCTTTTACTTGTGGGATTGAATGCTAGCTCCAGGTAGGTAGTGTCAAAATTGAACTGAATACTGGATACCCAATCAGTGTTGGGGAATTCACTGGTATTGAGAGAAACACCCCCAAATATGCCAATTAAAAGAAAAAATAAAAATACACCCCAGGTCAGGTGCTGTGGCTCATGCCTGTGATCCTAGCACTCTGGGAGACCACGATGGGTGGGAGGGTGGGGGTGGATTGCTTGAGCTCACAAGTTCCAGACCAGCCTGAGCCAGAGGGAGACCTCCTCTCCAACAATAGCCAAGCATTGTGGCAAGAGCCTATAATCCTAGCTACTCCAGCTGAGGCAAGAGAATGGCTTGAGCCCAAGAGTTTGATGTGAGCTTGATGCCATAGCACTCTACAAAGGGCGATAAGGTGAGATTCTGTCTCCAAAAACAACAACGACAAAAATACCCCCAGACTATACTTCTGGTAATCTCTTTTCACAACCCTCATTTACATTTAGCAAAAAGAATTCACCTATAAACTCTAGGGAGAAGAGTGCTATATTGCCAATTAACAGCAGAAACCCAGGGAATATTCTGGATATAGATTTCTCTTTGGAGAAATGAAATCATGGATAAATCTGATAGATCCAAGAGAATGATCAAGTGCTTATCAGAAAATGTCTGCTTTGTAAATTGCACAACCAATTAAATGCATTCATTCCTCACTGAGTTACTATATATGCCAAGGACTATGCCATATAATGGAATTAAGGTGACACGAAAGACCTAGTTACTACCCTCCAGACTCAATTTCTCAATTAGCAAGAAAGATAGATAAAGTAAAAAATGCCTCCAAGGATGTGAATAAGTCTCGATATCCCAGTGGAATGACTGAATTTGGAAAATGAATTAAGCTGGCAAGAAGTGAGGAGGATTGGGAAAGTTCTACTAATAAGCACAATATCATGCAAAAAAGCACAGATGATAACTGTACTGATGCATTCTTGAAACCAAAAACTTCAATATGATTATGCAGACAGCAGTGCTCAACAGACATTTCATGTGCAGCCTTTTATTTCTTTTATACTTGGACAGGCCCATGTGAAAGTTATGGCCAAAGGACTGCAAGAAATGATGTGTGTCACTTCTGGCCCAAGTATATCAGGTTCAGCTTAAGCCCCTTTAAGCTATCTCTTCTTCCATGTTCCAAATGGTATAGCTAAAAGACGGCAGAATTTCATTAGCTTAAGTCTCTTGAGGGACATACGGATTGGGGCCTCACAAACCAGTAAAAAAATCTATCGCATGCGAAAAAAGCTTTGTAACAAGAAATTAAGGTTCATTGTGTTAAGGCAGTCATCTATTATCACAGATAGCTGACTGATATAATTGACTAATGGTAAGAAATGAGGATAGTGAGGTAGATAGGGGCTAAAACTTGAAAATCTTTCAAAGGACTTAAAGGATTTTAAGCAGAAAAATTTAAATGTTCTTATTCTAATAGCAATGAGAGAAATAACCACGGCGAACAATATAGATGAAAAAAATTGAAGGCCTGCATCAAGGGAATAGCAATGGTCACTAACTGCACGAGGTAGGATAGAGAAGAGGTCTATGAACCAAGAAACTTGACGTGGAAAAGGTGGCAAGTTGAGGAGCAAGACAGTTAAGTTTCTGCATTTGTTTTCAGAGGCTAAATTACTTAGAGAACATCAGATAATATCAAAGAGAGCCGAATACAAGGAATGGAGTTCGGGATTGGTGTGTTATTCAGATCTGACAGTCACCAAGACAGAACAATAATTAGAATAATGTTGCTTAAGAAGAACAGAGTAACAGAGAAGAAAGTAAAGGAAGAATTCTAAGGACTAATGTCAACATAAACAGGAAAAAAAGAAACCCATGAATGAGAAAAAAAGGAAAAAAAAAAAAAGAATTGATCAGAAAACTAGCAAGGAATAAAACAGTATCATAGAAGTTAAAGCAAGAAAATTTCAAGGAAAAATTTGTATGTTTAAGAGAGACTGATTTAATATATAAAAAGTGCCCACTAAATTTGGCAGGGTTATCTAGGAAATTTTCAATGAAGTAAGAGGAGCTAAAAATAGAGTACAGTGAACTTAACAAAATAAAAATGTAGATAACAAACAGAAAAATGCATTTCCAGAGACAGCTGAGAAAAGAAGCAGAAGAAAGGGTGATAGTGGGATTCTGTCGCTTTCACAAATGGGATAGACCTTAATGAGACCAGCTAGCAAAAAGGAAAGCAAAATACAGAGTAAAGGGAGTAACTGATGGAGAAAAGCCATTGCAATAGGAGAAACGGGAAATTAGATTAGAAATGGGAGCTGTAAGGCCTCAGACAAAAAATTTAACTAAAGTCTCTCTAGATTTCAATATCTTCTGCCATAAAATGAGGAAACAGGAGAGATTTACCTGGACGATACCTTTCATGGGTCTGAATACTAAATATGTAACTGTACCATAATCTCTCTAGACCGGTCAGGTTAATAATTTTGACAACTAAAACACACTGCCCCAGCCAAAAGATCTAGCAGTAGATGTAATAAATTAAATGTGAGTCTATCCCAATCTACACCACGCTTCAAATGCTACCAACAAATACTTGGTATAGTACAACTAAATTTCTGAAATACTCTTAATCCTTGACATGTGAAAACTGGGCATATCAAAAATGTCAACCAAGTTATTAACACCACTCATACAACTTAAGAATCAAAAGAGACATTAAGTCATTTCTATCTAGATCAACTTCTGTTAGCTTCAGAATACTTTTTTCCTTAACAAAATCTTCCACAGAACCTTAGTAGTATATAAAATAGGAAAGGCAGTTTTAGCTGATACAGGAGATCCTTAATCACTTGGCTGGTTTCCAGGTCCCAGTCCTTCCATATATGCTCAGGACAGTTAGAAAATAAATAATAGGCTCAGCGCCTGTGGCTCAAGCAGCTAAGGCACCAGCCACATACACCTAAGGTGGCAGGTTCGAATTCAGCCTGGGCCCGCCAAACAACAATGATGGCTGCAACTGGGGGGCGGGGGGGAATAGCCAGGTGTTGTGGCAGGTGCCTGTGGTCCCAGCTACTTGGGAGGCGGAGGCAGGAGACTCGCTTGAGCCCAGGAGTTGGAGGCTACTGTGAGCTGTGATGCCACAGCACTCTACCCAGGGGGACAGCTTGAGGCTCTGTCTCAAAAAAAAAAAGAAAAGAAATAATACAGTCCAATCCATTTACTTCCAAATGAGAAAATTATTACCAGGAGGCTATCCTATGATGAACGATTACCTAATCTTCCTCAGATTCAATTATATGGTAGTTACATTAGATATACATACACTATCTTTCACTATTAAAGTAATATGTTAATTATTGACCACTTATTAAATGTGAATCTAAGCTAACCCAGAACACACCTATATCCCCAAGCACTTTCTTAAAACCTAAAATTATAGAAGTTAACTATAAAACTTTTTTTTTAATTTGTGTTATTAAAGCAATGTAGTATGTTAATTCTGCCATTTTATCAAAAACTCCCAGGGAAGGAGAAGTTGGGGGTTTTTTTCATCCCTGTAAAAATAACTGAAGAAACTTACCTAAACCAAAAGGGTTGCCAGTAGTAGAACCAGATGTGGAGTTACTACTAGGAGTTGATGATGTGGTAACACTGCTTCCAGTGGTATTTGTTTGCTGAGCTGAATGATCCTGAGGCCTACAGAAAATAATGAAATCACAGTATAAGCAGTGGGGTTAATTTCTAAAGGAACTTTTTAAATAATTCAACTCAAATTAAGCATTAGGAATAAAAAACATAAACATCCGTAATAAAATCTTATAAAATCTAAAATATATTTGTAACTGCCCCACCTCTTTAAATATAACATACATAAATATTTCATTATGTTCTTTCATAATGGTTATTTAAGAGAAGGATATACGTCACAGTGACAAGTTACACTCACAAAGTTGGACTATAACAACTTTTTATCTACCCCCTCAAGTCCTTAAGGTTTAGGGGCCATCAGAGACTAGTTTTATGCAGACCCTTGAAATTCTTAAAAATAATAAAGCAAAATAAAAAGTGATATTTCATTAAAAGGCTGAGAAATCAAGCCAAATAATAACTGAGCATTACTTAGTATTATCTTTAAATAGAGAAATACAGTTTATCAGAAAACCTTTTCTTCTGATTACCAGGTTAAGAGTTCTGATATCGGCTCCGCGCCTATAGCTCAGCCGGCTAAGGCGCCAACCACGTACACCTAAGGTGGCGGGTTCGAATCCCCAGCCCGGACCCGCCAAACAACAATGACGGCTGCAACCAAAAAATAGCCGGGCGTTGTGGCGGGCGCCTGTGGTCCCAGCTACTTGGGAGGCTGAGGCAGGAGACTCGCTTGAGCCCAGGAGTTGGAGGTTGCTGTGAGCTGTGATGCCACGGCACTCTGCCCAGGGGGACAGCTTGAGGCTCTGTCTCAAAAAAAAAAAAAAGAGTTCTGATATCATTCACTATTTCTTCCATTACATATTTTTTCATTTTAACTCTTTGAAATTAGATCTATCCTACAACTGCTGACAGCCGTACATCAACTGTAATGTCTGCACACATGTGCTCTTAGCACATGACTAAGTATATTATTGTACCCTACAAGTTGAGTTTAATTACCACATTAAAGTATCTTCAGAAAAAAGACACCATTAACTGGCACTGAAAGAAGTTACCACATGTACAAAAAAGGCACAAAAACAAGAGAGATAAATGTTACAATCAGTAAAACAAATATTTGCTTTTGAGGAACACTAGCATAAAAGCTTACATTCTAGAATGAATGTCAATGGCTTGCAAGAAAATTCTTGAGAAAATACCCTACTACTTTTTTAAAGAAATGTAACATCACCAACACTCTGGACATAATAGAGTTTAGTACTGTATGGAAAAATATAAACACTGACAGCTAAGTCAAAAGGTGATTCAAAAAATTCAGACTCAATGTAAATAAATTTTAGGAAGGAAGAAATATCAACAATTTGTTTCATTTATATTTCTTTGTAGGTATCCAAAACTGACATGGTAAAATTCTATATCCAAATAAGTTTAAAGGAGTTCTTTCTCTAAGTAGAAAATAAAAATTTTAAGTGACAAGAAAAAAAGTTCAATTAGCAGTGTTCTTCCTTAGTGATACACAAAATAAAAGTTTCTCTTAAAAATTGATAGTGCCCTGGATTAAAGATTTAAACTTAAGACAAACAAACTATAAAAATACTAGAAGAAAGTATAGGGAAAACACTTGAAGAAATCAGCCTAGGCAAAAATTTTATGAGGAGGAGCACCCCCCCTTACCCCCCTGGCAATTGAAGCAACATCAAAAATAAACTACTGGGACCTCATCAAACTAAAAGACTTCTGCATAGCCAAGAACACAGTAAGTAAAGCAAGCAGACAGCCCTCAGAATGGAAGAAGATATTTGCTGGTTATGTCTCCGACAAAAGTTTAATAACCAGAATCCACAGAGAACTCAAACGTATTAGCAAGAAGAGAATGAGTGATCCCATCTCAGAGCGGGCAAGGGATTTGAAAAGAAACTTCTCTGAAGAAGATAAGCGCATGGCCTACGGATATATGAAAAAATGCTATCATCCTTAACTATCAGAAAAATGCAAATTAAAACTACTTTGAGATATCATCTAACACTAGTAAGATTAGCCCATATCACAAAATCCCAAAGTCACTGATTCTGGCATGGTTGTGGAGAAAAGGGAACACTTCTACACTATTGGCGGGATTGCAAATACGTTCCTTTTGGAAAGACATCTGGAGAACACTTAGAGAACTAAAAATAGACCTGCCATTTGATCCTGTAATTCTTTTACTAGGTATATACCCAGAAGATGAAAAAGCACACTACAACAAAGATATTTGTACCAGAATGCTTATTGCAGCCCAATTCATAATTGCCAGGTCATCAAAGAAGCCCAAGTGCCCATAAACCCACAAATGGATCAATAAACTGTGGTATATGTACACCATGGAATACTATGCAGCCCTAAAGGAGGATAGAGACTTTTCCTCCTTCATGTTTACATGAATGAAGCTGGAAATTATTCTTCTTAGCAAAGTATCTCAAGAATGGAAGAAAAAGTATCCAATGTCCTCAGCCCTACTATGAAACTAATTTATAGCTTTCATAGGAAAGCTATAACCCAATTATAGCCCAAGAATACGGGAGAAGGGAAGAGGGAGGGGAAGGGAGGGAGAAAGATGGGTAGAGGGAGAATGATTGGTGGTATCCCGTTTATGGTTCATCTTTTAAGGGTACATGTGAATCTTTCTAAATGAAGAATAAAAATGTCTTTTTTTTTGGCCGGGGCTGGGTTTGAACCTGCCACCTCCCGCATATGGGGCTGGCACCCTACTCCTCTGAGCCACAGGCGCCGCCCAGAATATAAATGTCTTAATACAACAACTAAGAAAATGACACGAAGGCTATGTTAACCAGTTTGATGAAAATATTTCAAATTGTATATAAAAATAGCACACTGGGCTTGGTGCCTGTAGCTCAAGTGGCTAAGGTGCCAGCCACATACACCAGAGCTGGCAGGTTCGAATCCAGCCTGGGCCTGCCAAACAACAATGACAACTACAACCAAAAAATAGTCAGGCATTGTAGCAGGTGCCTGTAGTCCCAGGTACTTGGGAGGTTGCGGCAAGATAATCACTTAAGCCCAGGAGTTGGAGGTTGCTGTGAGCTGTGATACCACATCATTCTACCCAGGGCAACAGCTTGAGGCTCTGTCTCAAAAGAAAAAAAAAAATAGCACACTGTACCCCATGACAGTATCAATGTACACAGCTATGATCTAATTAAAAAAAAACTGATAGTACCTTAGGTCCAAAGTAATATGGTTATTTATTTTTGGTTTGCTTAAGAGATAAGTAACCTGAGATCTTTGCCTAAAACTTCCCCTAAAACAAAAATAGCTAAAAACATTAATTTGCTTATTCTTTTTTTTTTTTTTTTAAAGAGACAAGAGGCTCACTTTGTCGCCCTTGGTAGAGTGCCGTGGCTTCACAGCTCACAGCAACCTCCAAGTCCTGGGCTCAGGCGATTCTCTTGCTCAGCCTCCTCAGTAGCTGGAACTATAGGCGCCCATCACAACGCCCGGCTGTTTTTCCTGCTGCAATTCAGCTGCGGCCAGGTTTGAACCCACTACCCTCAGTATATGGAGCAAGTGCCCTACTTAATTTTTGGCTTATTCTAATTCAAATAATTTAGACATATTAAATTTTCTGAAATAGTAAATGCTCATATGACAAACACTAACATGAAATCACATTTTAAAAAAAGATTATTACTAAGAACAAAAAAGAAAGGAGTTTTAATGCATTTACATATTAATGAGGGGGGAACAGGGAAAGCCATTTAAAGCCAACACTAGTTATTTTTCCAAGACAAATATATCTGCTTCACAAACAATTCTTTAAAAATTTTCAGAAACCAAATATAAGTATTTATTCACAGTTTAAAGCTCTATGTCTTTTAAAACCATACCTGTTTTGTGTTTTGATGACAAGGTGAACTGTAAGTCCGTCATGAATTCCATGCTGACTCAAAGTATCTTGATCTTTTAAAATTTTCCCAGCAAATATCAACACAAGTTGGTCAGTATGTGATTTGAAACGTTTCGAGATTTCTTCTTTGAACTAAATAATAAAAAAAAAGATACAAGTACTTTCATAGCATCATAGTCTTAGTTTCCAGAAGTACATCAAAGAGGTCCCAACTACAGATAATACAATTCAAATAAATAAAGATTCATCTTTTTTATGTTATTTTGATCTTAGTGAGAAATGATTACCGCTTCATCTCTAACACAAAGGTCTTATTATAGATGCACATATCCCATCTTTAATCCTCTGGCAGAGGCCTAACAAGTCATTGCCTTGAAATATCCTTATTCTTTTACGTCAAATGAGACCAAATTTAGTTCAAGCCACAATCAGGTCTTACCAAGTTTACAGTAGTCTTATTCCTCAGTCTATCTTCTTCAACACTGTCCTTTCTTTCTAGTTGAATATAGTGTGCACAGCCAACCTCATATTCTTGGCCTACAAGGTGAATAATTCTAATCCAATTATCTAAAATCCTAAAGTTTCTGCATGCCCATGACACTCAAAAGAAAAACTCATTGGAGCATTTCAGATTTTCAGATGTTTTTCTCTTTAGTAGCTACACATGGTTCTGTGAGGATTAAATAAGAATGTATGTGATTAAATAAGAATGTATATAAAATGCAAACATCAGACAGACAGATGGGAGAATAGATGGTAGTCCATAAATGGTAACAACTACTTTGCCAGCTCTCTTAGTCCTCATTAACTTTGTGAGGTTTGTAATCCTCTTTCAGAAACAGAAAAAAGAGTTGAAGATGTTCTCCCTCTCCACACAATGGCATAGCTAATGACCTGCTGAGTTAAGATTCAAACCAGATCTGACTTCAAAGACAAAACTATTCAGATTACCTAAAGGGAATCTATTTTTCCTAAGGTCACATGTGGCCTTTGAACTGAATTTAAATTTTACAGAACAAATCTTTTCACTTTTATTAATATATTTTTGATCATCTTTTATTTATATATATATTTGGCGGGGGTAGAGACAGAATCTCACTTTGTTGCCCTTGGTAGAGTGCCATGGCATCACACAGCTTACAGCAACCTCCAACTCCTGGGCCCAAGCAGTTCTCTCGCCTCAGCCTCCCAAGTAGGTGGGACTACAGGGGCCCGCCACAATGCCTGGCTATTTTTTGGTTGTAGTTCAGCCGGGACTGGGTTTGAACCCACCACCCTCAGTTTATGGGGTTGATGCTCTACTCACTGACCCACAGGCACCACCCTTTTATATTTTTAAAACGAATGTATTTAAAATACCAAAGAATGAAGTTAAATGAAATAATCATCCCAAATTGACTACCACAATTAAAATCAGTAAGCCACAAGAGCTAAATTGACAGCTGCTACACTCCTGACTTAGTCCTAACTTCTCCCAACTTCATGAAATACTTCAAACAGAAAATAGAAATTATTCAATCACTTTGGATGAGATATTAGGGACTACTGACTTGGCACAGGTTTTATACTTCATTAGGGCCATAACAAGACATTTTCTTTGCTACAATTACTCGCTTTGGACACTCTTGTTAACAGAACACAGGCAATAGCTATCTTTAATACTTTCAAGATAAATAACATGAAGTTGGACTGAATTTGGTGAATTTAGGCTGTACACCTTCCATAAGAGGAAAACATGAAGAGTTTATTGCACAGATAAAAAAAGAATTAAGAGATCCAGGTACTCTATAATTTCTTTTCACTGTAACCTGCATCAGCAAAATCTCGTACTACAGCTCTTGCTTTACATGACACTTGGCAGTAAGTTCTCAGTATTGTTAACTATGTTTGTGCAAATTCAATATGCCATAGCCAGTTTCATAACATGCTAAAGCTGAATGAAGAGGTATTCAGTGTGGATTTGCCATATCATTCCAAAGTACACCAGCTATCACATGGGCAGTATTAAGTGTTGGTCAAAATCTCACCTCTGCAAGAACAGATAGTTAAATTTTATAAAGAACAGGATCAGCAATGTGAATTAATGAAAGAAGTTTTATCTGGGAATGCAGCATTTCTGTGTGGTATCATACCAAATCAAAATGACCTGAATATTTCTTTGAAAGGTAAAACTAAGTCTATATCTATATATATGTGGCCAAAAATCCAACCATTTTTTTAAAAGCTAATTTTTTTTTTTTTTTTTTTGGAGACAGAGCTTCAAGCTGTCACCCTGGGTAGAGTGCCATGGCTTCACTGCTCACAGCAACCTCCAACTCCTGGGCTCAAGCAAGTCTCCTGCCTCCACCTCCCAAGTAGCTGGGACCACAGGCGCCTACCACAACGCCCGGCTATTTTTTTTGGTTGCAGCCATTATTGTTGTTTGGCGGGTCCGGGCTGGATTCGAACCCGCCACCTTAGGTGTATGTGGCTGGCATCTTAGCCGCTTGAGCCACAGGCGCCGAGCCTTAAAAGCTATTTTTGATAAACATTTTCCTCAGTTACCAAAGGTCACTGATGAGCAGAATTATATATGTGAAACATCTGAAGAATATGCAGTTGTTACAGGCCCATTAATTGGAGAATACAATGAAAGGTTTATTGACTTTGAGAATCATGACATCACCAGCAAATTAGCATCTCAGCCTCATCTAGGTGACATCACCAAGGCACCTAAAGAACTACAGATAGCACTGACTGAGCTCTCTGTAGATGACTTTTTTTATTGTTGGGCATTATTGAGGATACAAGAAACCAGGTTACACTGATTACATTTGTGAGGTAACGTCCCTCTTACAATTTTGTCTTGCCCCCAAAAGGTGTCATACACCGAGACCTCCCCTTCCTTCTCTCTTCCTTTCTCCCACCCACCTCCATCCTTCCCTCTATTTCTTTCCCCCACACCCCTCCTTCCTTCTCTCTCTCTGCTCTCCTCTTCCCCAACCCTCCACCGTGTACTATGTCATTAATTGTCCTCATACCAAAATTGAGTACATAGGATTTATGCTTCTCCATTCTTATGATGTTTTACTAAGAATAATGTGTTCTACTTCCATCCAGGTTATCTGTAGATGACATACTGAACTCATTGTTTAATGCCAAGAAAGATCCGATTGAAATATGGATAAATGCAGAATACCCGCACTTCAGCAGCAACATGCCAAAAAATACTTTCTTGTTTTTCAATGACTTATTCCTACGAATCTACATTCTTCCTACCTAACCAAAATCAAGATGCCCTTAAGGTCACCAATGACTGATACCCATCTAGAGGATCAACTGAAATTGGGGACCTCCACGCTGCAACCAAAATTCAAATACTTTCCAACAAAAAGCAGATACAGTAAAGTCATTACAAGGATAATTTTAAAATTAAGTTTTTATTTTTTGAAATTATCAAGGACAGAGTAAGATTTTTACAAGTTAATGTACACTTTTAAGTATATCTAATCGAAGTTTCTTGAATGCACGCTTATTAGATTATAGCTCAATTAATGCAGCCTTCCAATATGAAAAGGTTCTCCACCCCGACCTATAAAACCAAAGGGTTAACCTAGATTTGTGTTTCTTAACCGTAAATTCAAAAATCCTTTTCAGAACTTTGATATCCCTTTATGTTACTCTGAAATAAATAATTTAATTACCTAACATACAGTATGGCATTTTGTCACATTTTAGGATTTGAAGATAACACACTAGATCAGTGGTTCCCAACCTGTGGGTCACAACCCACGGGAACTGTATTAAAGGGTCACAGCATTAGGAAGGTTGAGAACCCTTGCACTGGATTAAAAACATGTACTAACTCTTAACATTCTTTCAAATCCGCACTAAGACAATACGGTTTTTTTAGTGAGGCACTGGATCATGTAATTTGTCCATTTAAAGGATACGGTTCAATGGTTTTTGGTATAATCATAACCATAGCCACAGTCAAATGCAGAACACTTTCTCTACCTGAAATAGAAACCAGTACCCTGTAACTATCACCTATTTATGCGCCCATTATTTCCAGCCATTTGAAACCAGTAATTTACTTTTCTCTCTCATGTTATTGATCTAGGGAGCTCTAGGGCAGGTCCAATAGATTTGCCTATTGATTTAAAAGGAATTATAAATGATCTTTGTGACTTGGCATGTTTTCAAGGTCCATTTATGCCATAGCCTATTTCAATATGTCATTCTTTTCTACGGCCAAATAGCATTCCATTGTATAGGGTTATCACATTGTGTTTATTCACACATGGAGGACAGACATTTGGGTTGTTTCAATCTTTTGTCAAATACAGGTAGTATAATAATAACTCTATGTTTTACCATCTGAAGACTCACTAGTCTTATGCTAAGTGGCTGTATCATTTTATATTCCTCACAGCTGTCTGTACTGGTTCTACTTTCTTCATATCACAAACACTTATTATCTGACTTTTATTACAGCCATCCTAGTGGGTGTGAAGTGGTTTTGATTTTCATTTCCCTGATAGCTGGTGATGTTGAGCACCTTTTCATGTGCTTACAGATTACCTGTATGCCTTCTTTGGGGAAATGTCTACTCAGATCATTTGCCCACTTTTCAATTACATTATTTCTTTCTTTTTTTTTTGGAGACAGGAGCCTCAAGCTGTCCCCCTGGGTAGAGTACCATGGCATTTCAGCTCACAGCAACCTCCAACTCCTGGGCTCAAGTCTCCTGCCTCAGCCTCCAAAGTAGCTGGGACCACAGGGGCCCACCACAGCGCCCAGCTATTTTTTGGTTGCAGCCATCATTGTTGTTTGGTGGGCCCAGGCTGGATTCGAACCCGCCACCTTCGGTGTACGTGGCTGGCACCTTAGCCACTTGAGCCACAGGCACCGAGCCATTATTTGTATTTTTATTACTGAGTTGTAAAAATCCAAAACTCTCTTGTCAGACATTAAGTTGCAAAAAGAATTTTTTTCTGAGTGTCTGAGGCAGAAACTCAAGATGATAGAATAAATGGGAAAGTGTCAAGTAAAATAAAATACTGAAGCCTGAAATCAGATGAACACATGATCAATGAGTTTAACAGACACTAGAGAACTAAATCCTAAGCTATTCAATTTACTCTTCGGAA